CAGCAAAGTCTTCCAGAAAAAGCACCGCATATCAACGCTGTGTGCAAAAATCCCAGTGGGATGCAAGTCAAACAATAACAACCATAAGACAATTTAGATTACTATAACAAACAAATATGGCTAAACCAAAAGTTTTCGAAATCACCAAAATAAAGCTATAAATGTAACAATGTAACAGTGTAACAATGTAAGTGTAACAATGTAACAGTGATCATAAGAACTGTGATATGTGCCGACGATGAGTGGACATCAGAACGGTACGGTATTAAAAAAACGTTTCCTGGAAATTCACAGGGCTTGACCTTACACGTGCAGAAAACAGGGATCAACCCACCTATTGTGCACACACTGGCGGAGCCTGGCCATGGATCATTGGGGTTTATTAGTAATAAATCGGCATTTTGCAACCCCCACTGCCACTGAGTAGCATATTATTACGTGCCAGGGACTCTATGAGATGAGTCCATAATTGGCAATAAGTAACGGCAAAGCAATTATAAGTGACTCACAGAATTGTGCGCAGTTGCGTATACAGTCCACGACTTCCCTGAAGGCATCAACACCTTCAGCGAGCGCGATGCCGATCACACAACGCGGTTCGAATTCGACCCTCGATCGATGGCTGCGCCATCGTCGCACACGTGTCAAATAAAAAGCAAGGGACAAGTCCTTACTTACTAACAACTCCTTACTTACTAACAACTCCTTACTTACTAACAACTCCTTACTTACTAACAACTCCTTACTTACTAACAACTCCTTACTTACTAACAACTCCTCTATCATTTGTCATTGCTGGAGGGGTTGCCCCCTCTACCTGAAAATCCTGGCACCGCCATTGTGTGCACAGCTATTCTGGTTTTTAATATGCGAGTTCACAATCCACGGAGCTCTGCTCACTACCACGGGTTTAATTAAACCATCGCATCGAGCCCAATGTCAACCTACAGAGTGCTTTAGTATTCCCCTGCATTCTGAAGACGTGCAACAATTAAGTGAGACCACCTGCCCCCTTGACAATCTCCGGAAAGACTATACATTTCCTTTAAATAAAGACTCATCGTATTTCAGCGAACATCGAACCCGCCGCTCTATCAACACCACGACTCCAACTTCTCCGAAACTACCATATATACATTGTTTATTTATTTAAGACTCTTCTTTAAATAGAGAAAAAAATCTACCACACGAACAGAGAAAGCGGCTCGGCAGTGCGAACAGTCAGTAGCAGAGAGCTCCAGACCGCATGGGCAGCAAAGGAGAAGGGGGCGAGACCTCCTATACAACAGAGACCTTGGTTGCCAGAGCAGAGGGCAGTGGAGATGAAGGGTGAGAGTCAAGGGACCCGGGGTGCTGGGGCTTAGAGGCGAGCGGCTTAGGGGAGGCCACAGATGAGAACGTTACGCAAGTCCACGGGCCACGAGCAAAGGACGTGGCCGGCGGCTTTTGGTTAGTCGTCGAACAAAGACGGTCACCGCATCACGCAGGTTTCAGATGCGCTTCTAGATGCACTTCTAGATGCGCTGCTGCGGCTGTCCGGAACGCTCTTCCTCTCGATATTAGGCAGCCACCGGAGCTGTGCACTTTGAAATCTAGATTAAAAATTCATTTCTCTCGAACTGCTTTCTGTGTTCGGTTTGTTGTCCTTCCCACGCACCTCCGATTAGCATGGTTGGCTATGTACGGTGCGAAAGAAGTTCAACAAAGATACAATAAATTACACCCTCCGTAATATTGGCAGCCTTTGTGAACGCCAATGAAAGTGTGTACATTTTTCCAAACATCGTTACGTAAAATACCATGGTAGAATAGCTCGGGCTCTATTCACTTCCCATGAGGCATGCCTTGGGGGTATAAAATTCTCCTCTTAATAGGCACGTGATAAGATTTGTAAAATTCTGCAAAAGACACAGAGCTTTTGGGTCTCGTGATTGGGGGGGAAATCTAATTATGATTAAAGTTTAATAGACTACATTTCCAGTCTAATTGTTTATTTCAGCAAGACATGATTAGATTTTCCATAAAGCTATCATCAGCTATTTTTTTTATTCAATGCCGGAACAAAAGCCTCTCCATGTCGGAAGGAGTGCTGCGCAGCTGTAATTATTTCGTACATACGCCATCGTTTCATTACGCATTCTCTTCCGAGGCCATCCCTTGCATAACCGTCAGAGGCTAATTTTGCGCAACGCTTTTGCGTGTGCCAAAGGACAACGTTTAAAACGACAAAGCACGCACACACACACGCGCGCGCGCTGCCATTATCCCACTATCCCGTTATCGTAAAGAAAACGCCGCGCGGGCATAATGAGACCGAATGGAAGCATTAGGTCTCGTTAGGGAGGAAGAGAGGCATGGAAGAAGAAACGCGACAAAACGCACACTGGACCAGCCACGCCGATAGTCAGGCTCCACCTGCAACTTCCCCCGCGGGGAGGAGACGGAGTGTGTGTGTGTGTGTGGCGGTGAGGAGTCTGTCACATTCCGCGGCCATACACGTTACTAACGAATGCCCAACATTTCAGGCTGCTACCTGCTATTTCTCTTTTTTTTTGCATTCGTTGTGTTTTGTGCATTCCCACTAATGTAATGCGATCGGCATCGCGTCGTGAGGTAAATGTCCATTTGGCATTCTGGAAAAGCGGTGCATGATCACGAGCTACAGAACCCACGGAAGGAGATAACGCAGTGCCAATACAATCCTTCAAAGTGACCTCTCGTATCCACACTCGGGGCTCCCTCCGTACTTTCCCATGGGCGCGCCCCGACACGGAAATGCCTCGCAAGCAGGTCACGTGACCCGTCAGATGGGATGGTCACAATTTAAACTCTCATCGAGTCGGTGGCCTAAACGGTCCTACGGCCATGTGTTCAGCTCTGTAGAGCTGGTGATCAAAACTAGACTGAGAGCATTGTACGTGCAGTGTACAATATGCATGTTCACTGCCCGTGTACAATGCATGTTCATTGCCCGTGTACAATGCATGTTCACTGCCCGTGTACAATGCATGTTCACTGCCCGTGTACAATGCATGTACACTGCCCGTGTACAATGCATGTACACTGCCCGTGTACAATGCATGTTCACTGCCCGTGTACAATGCATGTACACTGCCCGTGTACAATGCATGTTCACTGCCCGTGTACAATGCATGTTCACTGCCCGTGTACAATGCATGTTCACTGCCCGTGTACAATGCATGTTCACTGCCCGTGTACAATGCATGTACACTGCCCGTGTACAATGCATGTTCACTGCCCGTGTACAATGCATGTTCACTGCCCGTGTACAATGCATGTACATTGCCCGTGTACAATGCATGTACATTGCCCGTGTACAATGCATGTACATTGCCCGTGTACAATGCATGTACATTGCCCGTGTACAATGCATGTACATTGCCCGTGTACAACGCATGTACATTGCCCGTGTACAATGCATGTTCACTGCCCGTGCACAATGCATGTACATTGCCCGTGTACAATGCATGTACAACGCATGGGTACACAGCTGCAAAACACATTCTTCTGGAGGATAGACAGTGCGGATTAGGACATCAAGGAGGAAATAAGATGAATCCAGAAAATATAGTAACGTCCCATTTACTTTGGTAATTTAAAGTATTTTTAGTAGCTGTGGTTCATTTTGGGAGGGCAAAAATAATCAGTTACAAATTGGCCAATATATATACACACACACTGAAAACACACATGAATGCATTTGCTAATATAAACTACGATTGTATGTTTGCGAATCGAAACCTGTTTCCGCACATAAAACACAATTAATTCAAATGCCCATTGGGGTTATCAGTGCAGACAATTTGCTTGCTTTTTTTTAATTCATTCCGAATTCCCAAACGTACAACGAAAGGAAACGCAAAGTCGCCTATTTCCTCAAGACTGGGCCGCAAGGTTACTACACACGCACACCAAGAAACTCATCACAATCTGAACAATATAAGGACTCCTTGAGCCCACTGCAACACGCCACCTGCCAATTCGGCCCACAAAAGTCGGTGTGTAAACAAAATCGTGGATTGTCAAAGGAATGCTCAACGCGTACATCGCTCCCAAACACGCGACCACGAGCAACTGCTTATTTTGGTTCGAGCAGGTCGGCACACGCGGAGGAATGCAGGCGGCCGCACGCAGAACCTGTAGGTGTGTGCCTACATACATATATAAAAGACAAAGATTGCCCCATAGAGCCTTAACAGATTATTGGGGCAAGCGTTGTTAGCGAGTAGCACCTATGTAGACTGGCATGGCACACGAGGGGGTGGGTGTCCAGAGCCAAGCCCGGCCGCCTTTCTCTCCCTCTTGAAGATGTTTTCACACCGCACCAGATACTCATTTGAGGCTGAGTCGACATAGGAGAGGCCTAGTACTGGTTTCAGATAATCATCACTGGTATTGGCCGCGAGCGGCAATTGAACTCCGGTCGCCGGGTTCATAGTGCAGTGTGCTAACCACTACAAAACTCGCACCGTTCTCACACCACCTCCACCACCACCTCCAACAACAACTCCCATTTGCCACTAAGTGGTGGTGACATCACCACGGCGCTTGTGCCAGGCTATGTGCACTTTAAGGCCACGTGAAGTGTTGAGCGATTGCTAGCAGGAAGTTAATACATGGGACCCAGGTCCCATGTACAATACATGGGACCCAGGTCCCATGTATTGACTAAGATGACCGGCAGTTGCACCACCGGTATCCCTACTATGCCAACTCTATGTGTTTTAGCCGCCCGGAGCTCCGCTGGTTGTTGTGAGCGTCGCTCCTCTGCCCTCTGTTGTTGCTAGAGGGCGACTGCCTGCCAGCTGCTCAGTAGTGTCCTTAACGATCTTGACACCGCTGGTATCGCCTCCACCACCACCACCACCATAACCGTCCTCACCCCCCCAAATCAACTGGACAGGGTGAAAACCAACACGGTTGTGAAGAATACATGAAGTCCGCCGATATTCAAACAGAGGAGGAGTTAAGACTCTTACCGCGTACTGGAATTTCTCGTTGAATTCTCTGTCGTTTGCCTTCAAATGTCGCTGTTCCTCTGCAAGGAGACAGATGTAAACAGCACGCACAGGTTGTTATTAAGACGTAAAAACAAACATTTTACCTGTCTTGAGGTAAAGAGAAACATGATTTAGTGAGACAAGAACTCCAACGTGCTGCGATAGAATGCTGAACAAAAAAGACAGAATCTTTCGTCAGGTGTGGTTTAGCTTAGCGCGTTACAAACACATCTCAAAACGTAAATACAGACTCGAGAAGCACGATGTAAATAAATCAACAACAATAATTTCACGTTGTCATTCTTCAAAATGCAAAACGAACAAGCATATGTTTAACTGCACACTCCCACGTGCCTTGAAAGGCAACTTCATCTCATCTGCTAGCACAGAAGGGATGCAAAAATGGCACCCACGCGGTGGTCGTAATTAAGTATGCGGAACTTGAAAATCTTAGCAGCACAACAAAGAGCATGATTTATGCCCCGTGGGTTTTACACATCGCGCAAGTCAAATTCGCGAAAGGCCCTCTCGTCAACACCGTCATTACATTTTCACTTCAAACCGTGGATATGAAAAAAAAGACAGTGAAAAATTGTTCCAGCGCACATTACGCTTCGAACAAAATAGTATCTGGGGCTTTTTTTGTTACTTACTGCCTAAGATGCATGTGAAAATGTCATATCCCAGAAGAAATGTCAATAATAAACTGGAATTGCTGAACCTTCAGCTATGCCAGTTTATTATTGACATTGCTGAATACAGCAATGCCCAGCAATGCCGTTTCCCTGCGAGCTTTTCCCTAAACACAGTCGCTGAGCACAGGCCTAGAGATCCAAAATGCCCAGCGGCCAGTAACAAACAGCACTATTTGAAATGAACACAGGGTTACGTGTACTTGGGAAAAGGGCCGATGGCGAAAACTCCAAAGTCAAGCACCGAGAGGGGGAGCAGCAGAACGGGAAGTGCTGTGTCCTGTGGTGTGGTGGTGGTGGTTGAACACAGCGTGACGGATGTGACAGAGCAGACGAGGAGACCAAGTCCTCAACACGGGTGGGGGGACTCAACGAGTGGCGGGAACGGTCATCCCATCCACAGGGCACAGGTGACATCAGCTTCGTACTTTGCTGTACCGTCCTTCCTAGGAACCGGGTGCTTCCACCGCCCAGATACGACGACAGCGATTGCGTGGCAACTCCTCGCCCCGACATCCGCACTCTGCACGGCATCAACGCCGATTCGGAAGTTTGACCACGGCCGCCATAGCCGACGCGAGGCCGACACGGAGAGCGCGAGCGTGGCGCCCTCGCTCGCTCCTCGTCTCCAAGCACGGCACCCCCGTGGGCAGGGGAGGGGGGGAGGCATCTCCTCACTCCGCTGCTGCTGCTGCTGCAGCTCGGCGCCCATGGCAACCGCGCCAGCCCCCTTGCGCTGCTTGCCCCACAATTCAACCGAGGGTGTTGCTAAGAAGGGGGTGCCAAACCCCCCCCCACCGCCCCCCCCACCCCCCCCCCCACCGCCCCCCCCCCCCCCCACAAAGGTGTGGAGGGACTTCTTTTCCTTCAGGTATCGGTTCAACAATGCGTTTTACATATTCTTGGTTCTTTCGGTAAAGTCACGTAGAAGGGAAACAATAAAATAATAAAAATATAGTTTTTATTGTTTTATATTTTTATTATTTTATTGTTTCCCTTCTACGTGACTTTACCAAAAGAACCAAGAATATGAATCCCTGCAGTCACGAAAGCTTTAAATCAAAATGTAATGTGTTTTACGTTAAATATGCACTGTACACGGTGCCTGATGCCATTATTTTAATACCATCCAAAAGGGGAGGTGGGTACGAGGATCGATATATTCATGATTTATAAGACAAATAGGGAAATATCAAATTAAATTGTGTACTATGTGCGAAGGGTCAACTACAGTAGTATGGACAACGACCAGCTCAAGGTCGACAGGACACGGGTATAACTTGGCACCTCGGATTTTGCAGCCAATATCGTGGGTTGGACCACGTAATTATTTGGCCAAATTTGTGTCGTACGACCATCCACCACCCAATGTAGTCACAACAAATTAAATTGTCACGCAGTGTCCAAGCATTTAATGGGCCAATTATTGTTTCGGTTTCACAGTCAACTGATTAACAACTGTCACGACCAAACTTAGCAATTGGATAGGAGGATTCACTCGAGCCTACGCCAAGCACCATCAGGAGAAAATACAAATCCAGTCTGACTTTACCGAAACTGCTACATTTTCTCTTGAGAACTTAAAGTCTCCAACTCACCGGTGAGCCGAAACAATAACAACTGGCACGCTAAACGCCTCGACTGGTACGGTATGGTAGGGCCCGATCCTTAGCAAGACAGCAACACTCAAGCCCTCGGGGACTGATGCAGCACCTGCTCTCCTGATACAACAAAAACAAGGCCGGGCTCAAGGCTCCGGATTGAAGAAGCGTCCACTTCCCCAGGCCCCCCATCCCCACTCCAGCACTCTCACTCAGTGGGGGACACTTGTGGGAGCGAGCGCTCCCATCGTCACTCTAGACTGGGCCGAGATCTCCAAACTTGATGGCGCACGAGAACCTCCTTTTCAAAATCTGGCAGCCGATTGGAAATGTGAAACCCGGGAAGCCCCACCGTCACCGCCTTGATGCGCTCGACATATGAGAGGAGCCTCACGCCTCTCGGGGTATTCGCGACGACTCACGACCGTGCCCCAATTTTGCCGGGGCCGCAGGCGAGCGAGCGAGCGAGCGGGCGGCTTCCTGAGACCGACAGCCTCTCTGGCAAGCAGATTTTGCGACTCCTTCTGTCCCAAGATCTATTGAAAAGGAGCGACGTTCCTTTCGGTCCAGGTCAACCGCGGAATGAGGGGCAACATCGCAGGATCATAGCGTGCCAGGGGTGGGGCGCGTGCTGCGACATTCATCTCCGCTTCGCACGGCATCACGCTGCGTCTGTTTTAAAACTGCACAGCCAAAAGCTACAAAAACAGATCTTTTTTTTTAAGTAAAATTGCCTGGGGTAACCTGTGGGCAGTTCCACACACTAGGCAACCACAGAGTGAAAATATATGAATAATTTTCAAACGTTTGGGGTGTAATTTTGAAGGTAATTATCTATGGATTTGGAACACTTGGGTTATTAATGGGATAAATCAATGGCTTGACACGCACACGGAACTCAACGCACCATCACCATCCCCGCGTGAATGAAAAACCTGACACCGCGGTCGTGCCTTTCATTATTAATTTTAAAAATATTTGGCGGTACTGCATTGAGAGTGCGGCACAAGCACAAACAACAGCATTGCTCATTAACACTGCCTTAAGCAAAAAAAGCCAATTCGTTGTTGTACCGACGACGCTTGCGTTAATTTTAGGCGAACGTTATTTGATTAACTATCACGAGTGTTTTCCTCGCGAGCGCCTCCTCACCTCGCCCATTGTACACATCCTGCAAAGATGGGATGATCCGTGGGCTCACTCACTGGGACGCAGGAGGTACGGGGAGAGAAAGGAGGCCGTGTGGAGAGAGGGACACCAGGCATGGGGCAGGTTTTCCGTGTCCACTGAAGGCGTTCGTAGAGTTAGCCATAGAGTCAGTTATTTTCGTCGTAGTCTCAGTGTACGACAAACCTGTGTAAGTTTAGTCAAATCTGAGAATTCATCGAATTCATCGGATAATTCTCTTAGTCTTGTCGAATAAAACGGCAGAGGATGTAGTCCACTCTTAAGTTGTTAAATGTTGGTGTGGGGCGAGTGCAAATTCCCCCCCCCCGCCCTTTCTCCCCCAAAATCATCAGATTAGCCAATCGGAGAACTCCGTACATTTGTTAATTAATCTATATATAGAAGGGAAATTTGTGAATGTGTGTCTGTTCGAAATGTTTAGCATACTTCCCGACATGCAACAAACTTGAAATTTGGCATGCATATATTTGGCATGCATATATTTTGCACGGCAGGTGAGCGGTGACGTCACATCTGTGATGTCACCCGCATGCAGCAGCGTCACGCAGTGTGTCTGCTGACGTCACGCATCCCCCCCACCCTCCACGTAGGCTGTGTATTAATCCAAGACAAGAATCCAAGTCTCAGGCGAAGCCGGGTAGTAAAGCTAGTATACAGATTTACCATAGCCAATCAACATTGTTCGTATTCCTCAGCACACCGCAGTCTCTAATCTTAATGCAGATTAGTCGCTTTGATCTTGTGTGGGAAGTCAGCCATCGGCACGCTCAGTCATATTGGTGTCCACCGATAGCCATTGCTGGCTGAAATTTAAAAAAACCCTTTTGACAATATCGTGGGCAAAAAATTAACACCGAGGCCACCGAGCTTGATTTGCTTATGGGTCGTGACTACCGGGGGGGCCCTTGGTCACCTGGTTTAATCGTGGGCCATTTCCAGGCCAGCAGAGCCCAGTTCCGAGTGGCCATGTAAAGAGCGCCATTAATTGCTCCGCTAAAGGCCACTGACTGCTCGTTAAGCTTATTAAGCCTCAATTTTCACTTTGCTAATCGCGTAACATAACTGTACATTACCGTAGCTTGCGGGTTGCAACACTGTACGAGTAAAAACACGGTGCGAGAATGCACGTTTACCATCTTGCACTCTCTTACAAAACTCTGTCCATCTTTTCAAGATGCGAACTTAAAACGCAATTTTTTACTTCAACTTTAAAAACGCGCTTCCCAAGCAGCGTTGCCATTGATGCCATCGGATAAAGAAAAGCGGTTTGTTTATACAGGAAACAGCCTCGTATGGTTTACAGAACGTGGGAAGGTGAGGCCGGCGACTTTTTCCATGACCGTACGCCCTGCTCCCTCATTACTTAGTTATGATCTCGGCATCTCGCGGCCGCAATGACAATCACTCACAAAGGACTGTGGCGGACTGCCCCCAACAATGGGAATTGCAGAGCTGAGCTTGTTCCTGCTCTAGCTCGTCTACCTTGCAGATGTGCTCGAGGCATGAGGAGAGTGAAGGAGCAGAGAGCTTTATGAAAAATGAAAAGTCAATCTCGAC